TTAATTTATATATAACTGTACATACTAAAAATCAATTTAAGGTCCTAAAAATGGAAAAGAATTTCTCAAATATAAACTGTGCCTCGAGAGAAGAAAGCATATTATGTGAGAATTCATCAATATCTAGAAAATAAGACTAGAATTTGTCCTGAAATAAAACCAAAAGAGACAAAGGGAATACATGAAAGCTAAAGGAACAACAAGATAGCTGAATAAATTCCGTTATCTGTCTCATGGGGTAGGAAAGAAAAGACAGATGATAATATTTAAACAAATAATGCTAGAGCATCTATGTCTGAAGACAGCCATAGACCCCAGAGTGCCAGACAAGGATTAAAAATTTTAAATTATACTGGAACTAGATTATGAAAAGAAAATCCCAAAATATCAAATCTGTGAAAATGTTCTCAACTGCATGTCAGTTACTTCTTTTTTTACGCGCCTCAGGCTGTCTACTATATACCAAGTTACAGAACTTGGCACTTAAGTACTATATCATGTTACTTATCATACACCAATTTACCTATCTGACAACCAGAATGACTAAGGAAAGAGTCCTTAGTTTTCTCATTTTAAAATTCTCAGTATCTATCACAATGTCTAATGTAAGGCAGTGATCAATAAGAGGCTGCTAAGTAACTTCCACTAACAAGGCTTTACTTCAGAATCCTTTGTCATAAAGGTATAGGCTGAAATTTCAAACATTCAAAAAAGTATTCACTATCTCAGCCATCTGCTTTTTGCCTTACTGAAAGCAAACTATTTACAGGTCTAAATTAATAGTAAGACAGGAAACCTTATTGTTTACTGCAAGTGTTCTTAAATTTTACAAGAAAGTAATTTACCTGTAATCATGACTACCGCAAAGGCACTGATAAATACAAGCAGAAAGTGAGGCTGCCAAAGTATGCATTACATATACCTGAAAAAAAAAACCAGAAGAAAAATTACTTTAAATATACAATTTTGGGTATAGTTTTTCCAGACCTAGTATAATTAGCATCTTTTAAAAATTAAAATGCTTTTGCCTCTATAAGCTGTTTTCTTTCTTTTTTTCCCTCGAACAACCATTTCTTCCTAGATACAGCCATACTACAGGGAGGTTAAAAACAAGTGTCCTTTGGTAGAAATAGCAAGCACACAACTGCTACCAAATCTCTTTTACAAGAGCAAAGGGGAACAATTGCCAGCTCTCCAGGGCAGTATGAGCCATGCATTACAAGTACGCAATTCAACCGGCTTTTCCTTAAGTAGAACATGAAAACACAGACTGACAAGTGACAGTTCATTCGTAGACAGGTCACAGGCAAACACAGTCACGTATTTTACTTGTTTGAAAGTGAGACTTAGGAAAAAGGAAAATGGAAAAGCATGAAAGACAGTAACTGAAAGGCAGTGAAGTCAAGTATTTGCTTTAAGGAAGAGGATTCTAACCTGGCATGTCAGGAGCCACAACAGCAGAACCAAGGATGAAGGTGATGAAAGCAGAAGAAAGCAGAATAGACTATGAAAAGACTATCTGAATATGAAGCAAGAATCTCATGTAGATAAAGATGGGTATTGACAGAAAAAAATTTTAATTGTTCTTTTTTGGTTTCAACTGTCAATAAGATCTATGATTAAAAGATATCAATATCTGAGGATGGCAGAATGCAATGATCATCACAGTATTTTGTAGTTTCTCCAATACAGAGTTGGAATCAAATTATTTCTTTTGTGGAATGCTGTCTGGCCTTGTGACTTCTTTGACCAAGAGGACCCAAGAGAAATATGCATGGGCCCTGAACTTATATGTCAAAGGGCTTTGCAAATTCTAACCTGTACTCTTAAAGCCCTGCAATGATCATGTGAAAAAGCCAGAAATGGGCTGGAGAGATGGCTCAGTGGTTAAGAACACTGGTTGTTCTTACAAAAGACACAGGTTCGAATCCCAGCACCTACATGGCAGCTAATAGCTGTCTGTAACTCCAGTCCCAGGGGATCTGACAGCCTCTTCTGACCTCCATGGGCACTGCACGACATGGGTGCACTTACCTACATGCAGGCAATACATGCATACACATAAAATAAAAATAATAAATAAAAGAAAAAAGCAGAAACAAAGTGTTACTGGGTCATGAACTACACATTTGGACAAACATTATTCTGAGTGTGTCTCTGAGGGTATTTGCAGAAGACAGAAACATCTGAATCAGTCGTCTGATTAAAATAGATTTCCCTCTCATTCTCCCACCAACTGGAGGATCTGAAAAGAACAGAGGGCAAAAGGTAACTTTTCCTGTTTGAAGCACTGAGCAGATATTGTTTGTTATTTTTGTTTTTTCCTGTCTTCAGAACCAAACTGAAGCATCAGCTCTTTTGGGGTGTCAATCCTGCTTTACTTTAACTTTTGTTTTTTAAGTCTTTGAACCTGGACTGGAAGTATACCATCAGGTCTTCATTTACTCATTTACCATCTGCAAATCATAGAGCAACTCATCCTCAACAGTCGCATAAGCTGATTCCTTATAATCAATCTTGCCCTTTCCATCTGATCTAGTCTGATTTGTTGCTGTGACAGTACACTGGCCAAAAGGCAATTTGAGGAAGAAAGGGTTTATTCAGCTTACAGTACAGTCCTTCATTGAGGGAAGCCAGGGTAGGAGTCCAAGGAGTAGCCTGGAGGTAGGAACTAAAGCACAGGCTATGGAAGTATGCTGCTTACCAGCTTGTCCCCTTTCCTGGCACCACCCACAGTGGGCTGTGTCCTCCTATACCACTCAACAATCAAGAAAATGCCTCACTCAGACATACCCACATACTAACTGGACAGAGGAAATTCCCCAGTTGAGGTTTCCCTTTCTCAGGTGTGTCAAGTTGACAACCTCAACTATCCAGCACAACTTCTTTTTCTTTTCCATTTCCTTCTCCACACATCCTATTTGTTCAATTTCTCTGAGGAGCCCCTATCATACTAGGCTTGCCTGCCAATCAATGAGACACATACAATCATGATTTTGTTAGCCATGTCAACAACCAGAAATGTAAATGAGGCTATCCTAAATTACCTAGAACCTGGACACTCACTGGCAGACCAAGAATGAGTGAGAGAGAGTTCAGAGACTAGCCAAACCAAAAGAACTAATGAGTCAGCTAATGGAATCATGAGAAAAATAAATGATAGCTTTTTAAAGCCACTAATGTTTCAGAGTTCTTCTTAAACAAAAGCCACTTAAAAGGTAGTATAAACTAATGCGATATAGTTTCTTATAATTAAAGTTAAATGGCTTAGAAGGTAGTGCTTGCTCCCAAGCCTGACAATTTGTTTGATCCCTAGGACCTACATGGTGGAAGGAGAGAACTGATTCTATAAATTGTCCTCTGACCTCCACACACATGCCATGGCACATACATGCCTCAATCAATTCAATAAAATAAAATAATAAAGCTAAATTTATTCTGTGGGTGCATGTGTGTGTACCTGAATATGTATGCACAGGCAGTTATGATGTGATTCTGGAAGTCAGTGGACAACTTGCAGGAGGAATCAGCTATTTTCTTCCACCATGTTGCTCTCAGGCATTGAACTCAGGTCATCAGGCTTGGCAGCAAGCATCTTTACCCACTGTCCCATTTTGCCAGGCCTGTTTCTTTAATGTTGATGGAAGCTAGTGAACACTAAATAACCAGCATTCCAATTTGAAAAAAAAATTTGAAGAACCCTATAATATGCAAGTTAATACAGGCTGGTCTATACCAGATTTCCTTAAATCACAACTAACAATAAATACTATGTCTAGTTTACTGTCTAAATTTGTTTTTTCTAAAAGACAACATTTGCTGGGCACGGTGGCACATGCCTTTAATCCCAGCACTCAGGAGGGAGAGGCAGGCGGATCTCTGTGAGTTCAAGACCAGCCTGGTCTACATAGTGAGTTCCAGGACAGCTGGGGCTACAAGGAGACCCTGTCTCAAAAAGACAAAAAAAAAAAAAAAAAAAAAAAAAAAAAAAGACAACATTTATCCTTTTGCTTTATCACTCTTTACAGGCAAAATAAAAGTTTAAGTCAAACTGGAGATATTCATATGGAGCAAAATAAGCCAGACTCAGAAAGGCCAATACTTGAAAGCAGAAGGGGGCCTATAGGGGAAGAGGAGAAATCAGAAGCTCACATATATGAAAATGTCCCAATGAAACCTATCATTTTGTATAAATAACATATGCTAATGACAAAGAAGCTTGAAACCAAGCATACTTACTTTGTTGCTTTGGCTCTCAGGATGAGGAGGTGACTCAACATCTATTATGGCATGTAGAATATCATGTGTTAGGTTACTAAGGTGCAGTAATGGGTTGGCAACTACCGTTTTGGCACTGGCTGTACAAGCAAAGAGGAGAGGCACTGAAGTTTGTTCAGACAGAGGATTAGGAAAGAGAGGTTCTCCTGTTTCCTTAAAAACAAAGAGAAATAAAATTAATTGACTAATTTTAGTTATAACCCACTGCTTAAGTAACTCAAGGGTATTTTTTCAAAAACTTCAAAATAATTAAGAATTAAAAAGCACCCGGTGGGGCTAGAGAGATGGTTCAGTGGTTAAGGGCACTGGTTGCTCTTGCAGCAGACCCAGATTCGATCTCCAGCCCCCACATGGTGACTAACAACTGTCTGTAACTCTAGTTCCAGGGGAATCCGACACTCTCCTCTGACCTCCACAGGCATTGCCTGACAGAGGTGCACTTACATACATGTAGGCAATACACTCATACACATGCAATAAAAATAATAAAACTTTTTTTTTCAAGAATTAAAAGCACCCAGAGTGCATATAGCTTAAGGTAGGGTCTGAGGAGGTAACATTCCAACAATGATACCTTAGAACGATAACACCTTAATACCTCTGAGTAAGGTGAAGCTCATCACCTCAGAAGGTGAATGTGAGACTGCAGTAACACAAATCAAGCAAATCAAAAAGCCTGACACAGAACTGTTCTTCAACTGTAACACATACAAAGTTCTACAAATTCAAAATATAATTACACACAAAGACATATTCTTTAAAGCAACTCTAACAAAGAAAATAAAGTTTTAATATTTAAAACCAAAAAATACCACAGAAGCTATTTCAGACATCTACTACTTTTTACTGATTAAGAGCTACATACCTGCTGGGATTCTTGTAAAAGCAAAATCAATTCCATTCTCACAGATGCAAGCCCGCCACCATGAGAGCCATGAAGTACACAGTAACTGAGAAACATTCTCAAGAGTGACTGATACTTTAAGAGCCACTGTCTTTTTTCCTGAAAGCCTCTCATGTGTTTCACTTTTGTTTGGTGATATACATCATCTGCCTCTTCACTTAATCCAAATTCATCTCCACTTTTGCCAAATGTGGACTGTAGTTCTTCAGCATGTGGGCAAAAGTCACAAGTCCTCTGAAGAGCTACCATCTCTTTTTCAAGCCAGTGGTATAGTTGGTAACGCAATTTTCCACCATCAATTTCATAGCCAGTAGATAAAGTACGAAGTTCCACTGTGAGGATCTTTAAACATGCTCTAAATTTTAACTGAACAGCAATAATATCTTCTGATGGATCCAAAATGTCATTTTCATCTAGTGTACTGAAAGAGTCTGTGTAATTGCTTATTTCATCTAGTTTTTTATCTGTTTTTCTCAGTAAAGGTTTTACTTCTTTCATGGAAATGGGGAGATCCTCATTTGCTTCATCATTATCACTATCCCATTTCAATTCCAAAGAGTCATCCTGAAATACAACACTGGGTTGGCTCCAATCAAAAGAAAGAGTGGAGTCTGACTGCTTCTCTGAGGAGCCCTCTGAAGAAGATTCAAAACCATTCATCAGTGACTGTGACCAGTCAACAGCAGAAGACTTGTCTTCTTTTGCATCCAACTTAAGTGAAGAATCTTTACTAGTAAGAACACTAGATGCCCTACAAAAAGGATTTGTTTTCTTGATGACTTTAGGCATTTTTGATAATACTTCCAAAGCCAACATGGGGCAGCCAGCTTTCAGATGAGCACTGGCAGTAGTAAAAAATAATCGTCTTTCATTTAAACTAATCGTTCCTGCCAGTCCACTTTTCCCTGTTAAACCCATGTGTGTAGAAAATGTATCAGATGATCCAAAATGACGTCTTAGCAAAAGAGGATGTGTTCTTAGATAATTGTAGAAATTAAAAACTGCAGGGTTACAGGCTGACATCAGGACTTGATCTGAAAGTAAATTCATCTTATGAGCAAAGTTCTTCAAGATCTGAACTAAGAAGTTATATTTGTATTTTAGTCCCTTTTCTCTGTAAGGAACCTGGGTCTTTGGACAAATTTTAATAGACACTCTAATCTACAGCACTTAACAGACAAGAGTACATTCATAAGGAATGTGTTGACACTACAGGAAAACAAAGGTCATGTACTTTCCAAATGAAGCAGGCTTTTCAGGTAGCATCCTTAGTCATTTTCTCTTGCTTCCCTGGACACACCTCCTCAGTCTGCTTCACTAGTCTTGTCTTCTCTGTCTTTGAATGCTGACAGTGTCCTAGGATTTAGTTCGTGACTTCTTTTCTGTCTACACCCCCTGTGCTGAACTCATAATAGTTTCATGATTTTAAACCATGATGGTACATGATTTTAAGGTGCGGTGGTACACACTGTTAATCCCAGCACTCAGGAGGCAGAGGCAGGCAGATCTCTGTGAGTCCAAGGCCAACCTTGTCTACATAGCAAGTTCCAGGCCAGCGGAAGCTATAGGGAGACCCTGTCTCAAAAAGACCCCCCCAAAAAAATTCTCATGATTTTAAAGATTATATACATGCTGTTAGCTTGCACAGATCATCTCCAGTCTCAATTTCATCCTAAAAATCTGAACTCTTATCTCCTGAAGTACTTGTCTCATTTTTACTTAAATACAAATACTTTACCTCACAGCCTCTGTGTTTAGTGTGTCCTTAACAAAAATAACCCTATATTCAGATATCTCCACTGACTGACTTGCTTATTTTAACTAGTTCTTTTCCCAAAGATCATCTAATCAGAGAAGATTTCCTGATTTAATTAACACTCCATCATATAATAAACCACTGTTCAAGATGAAAACTCAGTAGTTACTCTTAATTTCTAATTCCTTAACACTCCATATCAAATATAGTTCTGTCTAGTCAAACTAAAATGATCTTGTGTCCAAATGCTTCTCTTGGCCTCTAGTCCTATCATCCTGGCACTACGATCATTTCTTCCAGAAGAACTCAGCTTTAAACAGTTCTAAGAGTATGCGGTCATACATTAATCCCTCCTCCCAACCACACATCACATATGTATACACACATATATTTGTTTTTAAAACAAGAATATATGGAGGCTACTTGGGAGGTGGAGGCAGGTGGATCTTCGTGAGTTCCAGCTGGGGCTACAGGGAGACCCCGTCTCAAAAAGACAAAAAAAAAAAAA